ACGATCACGCCATTCTCTGTCATGGTCTCTCCAACCCTCATCTCTATTCCATCCTTGATTTCCACCCGGTCTTGGGTAGTTTGCACGATAACCTCCTCCTTGGCTGGCTTGGAAGTTTACTTCCTCATTGTACAACGCTTCAAATTTTGCTTCATCGGGATTCATTCCACCAACACCCACAACATTAACACTCCAAGCACCAGCACCCATGACATTTTTAGCAAATATATCTAATTGGGTCATCATTTTGGCCATATTTTGGTCTCTCTCTTGATCCTTTTTTATCTACTATTTTGTCATTTTATAAGTGAGAGGAGAGACATGGTCTTCACGAGTGTACCATGCTGTCACGACCCAAGCCTAGGGCCTAGACGTGACCGGCGAATGGGGAACCCGAAGGAACCCCAAACAAGCCTCATAGCGTATCTTACACATCATTGGTCGCGGAAGCAATTAAAATGACCATAAGCGATAAGCATAATCAAGGGGGAAATCGGGACTAAGGGAGCAAGAAAAAAAAAAGAAGAAATGATACTTAAATACCATAGATGAGTCAAGCTCAAGCATAATACACAACTTGTCCAACACCACCTCTAAACATGCAACCAAGGTACCAACCCCTCGATACGGTTATACGGGCCTACTACCCCCCGTACTAGGCAACCAAGGTACCAACCCCTCGATACGGTTATACGGGCCTACTACCCCCCGTACTAGGCAACCAAGGTACCAACCCCTCGATACGGTTATACGGGCCTACTACCCCCCGTACTAGGCAACCAAGGTACCAACCCCTCGATACGGTTATACGGGCCTACTACCCCCCGTACTAGGCAACCAAGGTACCAACCCCTCGATACGGTTATACGGGCCTACTACCCCCCGTACTAGGCAACCAAGGTACCAACCCCTCGATACGGTTATACGGGCCTACTACCCCCCGTACTAGGCAACCAAGGTACCAACCCCTCGATACGGTTATACGGGCCTACTACCCCCCGTACTAGGCAACCAAGGTACCAACCCCTCGATACGGTTATACGGGCCTACTACCCCCCGTACTAGGCTTGGTCGACTCACAACACGTATATAGAGAAAATCATATACATGTATCCATTTCATCATCATTTCAATACTTATATAATCATCCGACTCATAGGACGTACATTGGACCTTCCATTTCATAAGAATTCTATAAATGGCATTTTATCAAACATATGGTGGGCTACTTGTTCATGTAAATAAAATCATGTGTTTCAAGAGTACTAAGTCCAACCAATTTCAAAATCCATATAAAACAGCCCACCAACAACATACATATATATATACATATATAACAACCTTCATAATTTGATCATTGAGGCATGAAAACCATAAACATCATATAATCATTCCATTTCATGATAATATACAAAAATAGACCATAATAGGATGTGTAGTAATAATTCCATAATTCAAGAGTTCATAAATGATCATAAGGACCCATAAACTTGAAGTAAAATAGAGGATAAATGGTTGGACTTGTGGAAAGGAAGGTTTCCACAATCAACCCACATACCTCAACTTTGGAGAATTCTTGATGAAGATTGGAATGGAGAATTGCTTGAGATTGAATCTTGAATCCGGAATTAAAGCTTGGGATCCTTGAATTTGGTTGATGATCTTGGTGGAATTTTTGGAGAGGGTTTAGAGAGAGTTTTTGGACGTTTTGAAGTTGAATGACTAAGTATGGATATGTCCCCTTTTTATAAAAACGTCCCAACACTTAGAAAAAAATTGAGGCGGGTGAACAGTGTTTTCGGCTACTGGAATTTGCATTTTCTGCCGGACAGGTTTTACGAAAATGGTCATAACTCCTTCATCCTAACTCGGAATGAGGTGAAACAAATTGCGTTGGAAAGCTAACTCACAGAGCTTTAATTTTGATAGTTTGAGCTCCTTCCAGTTCCTTGTGTGCTGAGAGATATTCCCCTTTAAAGTTGACCCTCAAAATCGCATTTTTTTCGATTTTCAAATTTTGATACGGTTGTTCTAAAATTCGGGTTAGACTCATTTCCCACTCAATTTGACCCCCTGAATAAGAATATGAAGTCGAATTTCCGAAATGATGCACGGATTTTGAGATATATGGAAATTACAATTTTAGGTGTTTTCGAAGCACATTTTCGGGCATTTTTGGGGTCGTTTCACATGCCCTGTTAATATTGGTCATGCAATAAAGGAGTTGAGATGCCATTGCATAGGGCTGTTGCATTAGATCACCTGGAGAAAGTTGATCAGCCACTCTTTTGTTTATCGAATCAAGGCATCTATAGAAATGTTGAGGCAGCACATTATGTAGAAGTCCATGAGTTGGGCATTGAAGCACCAGCTTCTTAAATCTCAGCCATGTCTCATGGATTTTCTCACCTTCCACGCGTTTGAAACCTTGGATTCCATCCCATAAAGTCATCATCTTCGATGGGGAAAAGAATCTCACCTGAAATGTTGTGGTCAGCTCATCCCAAGAGGTGATAGAGTCCCTCGGTAACTCAACCAACCATTTAGTGGCTTCACCCAATAAAGAGAATGGGAACAACCTCAGATGGACTAATTCTTGCGATATGTTCTTAAATGAGAACGACCCACAGACATCCACAAAGTTCTCAATATGCTCATGGGGATCCTCATGAGCCAGCCCCCCAAATAAACCCTTCAGTTGTAGGAGCTGAAGGATTGTGCTTGTAATGTGAAAAACAGTGTTTCCTTCAGCTAGAGGCAAACGAATGGCACCAACACCACCCATTTGGACTAGGTAATTGACATCGTTTAGGTTCCCAACATCATCTTGGTGGCCCACTTGGCAACTATTACTTTTGTTAACGCTCATCTCCTCATCTGTTTTAACACAATCAACACAAAACCAAAAATAAAATAAGTAGATTCAACTATGACTAAAAAGAACACAATTCAACTTCACCAAAAGAATTTAAACAACACCACTCTCCGGCAACGGCGCCATTTTGATACAAGTTTCAAGCACACCTCATCCAATTCTAGGTGTCAACGATCATAAATCAGTATAAAACCCAACTAAATGAGTTGGGGTCAAATCCCACATGGAGTGGTACGTGTTTTAAATTCAAATAGGAAGTACAAACGTGGTCTAATCAACCATAGGAATAGAAATTATCGAAAAAAATATTAATCAAATTAAAGGGGTGACACGAATGTCAGATGGGGGCTTTAGTTTGCAATTATCAACTACAAGCAGTCACAAACAATTCGAAATAACAATAGAGAGAAGGATTCTCGGGATGTTATCGATTATAGGCAAATATAGGTATATGGGTGATTAAAACTACTAGTAAACAACTAAAAATCAGTGAGTAGGCTAGACTATAAGGGAGATAGCTTTCTCTCGAACAACTACCCTGAATCAGGTGATTTCTTTCGAACATCAACAAGCATGACAATGAAGAACATCCCACACCTTAATTCATCCACTCTTTCAAGCTAGATGGGTAAGATTGGGTTTAGGATTCACTCTCTCGAGCTAAACCCAGCTCAACCTAATACCCACAAATCATTAATCAATAATCTTAGTTCTAAAACTTCTCTCGAGCAAGCCAAGAACACAAAAGTAGAACTGCATTTGCAACTATAATTCATAAATTAAACCTCAATTAATGATTAAACTCACTTCAAAATAGCATTTGAACTAGTAATTAACAATATCCATAAACTAATTCAACCCATAATCACATGATCACACCCCAAGAATTTGGGGTTTTAGCCAAACATCATAAAAGGGTAAAAATGATTACCAAATCGATTATCCATAAATTGGGTAAGAGAGTCTTTACAATGCTCAATTTGCAGAATATTCGAAACCCACTTCCAAAATCTCTAAATTGAATCTCTAAGGTTCTTCAAAAACTAAGAAAAACTAAAGAGAAAATTGTTCTAAACTAAAATCGTCTTCTCCAAAATGTATTCAGATGCTCAACTAAATGTTCAAAATCTAATTATAGTCGCCAAAAATAAGATACGAATGGCCATTTGGCGAAGTAAGTCGGGTTTGCTGAACTACTCAGCGAGCTGCCCTTTGACCTCTTCCATCGCCTTTTTGCCTTGGAATTCAACATCCTTAAGTTCAGTAACTTTGGGCGTTGTAACTTTGCTTCGTGGAAGTGTTCGGTGATTCGTCGACTGCTCATTTTTGTCGCCGACTTGGTTTCTTCCTTCAGGGTTGACACACTGGAACTTTAGGCGGTTAGATGAGCCACTCAACGACACGCCAAGTGCTCCTGGCGATCCTCAGGCTCGCCCTTCTTCCTTTCTTCAGCTTGCATCTACAAGGGAGAAGGGATTTTCCAACAAAATATTTTGTTGCAATTTATTCAATGTTGTTGCCAAAAGTACTTTTAGTAACAAAAATATTTTTGTTGCACATTGTTGCCTAAAATGCTGTTGGGAAATGTTTTGCAACAACAAAAAAAAAATGTTGTAAAAAGTTAACTTACACAACAAAAAAAGTTATTACCATAAATTATATTTTGTTGGTAAAAAGTACACAATTGTTGTTTATGTAAATCTTTAGCAACCAAAAATATTGTTGCAATAAATTATTATTTTTCCCAATAAAATTAGTAGTTGCAAATAATGGACAGAAAAATCGGTTATCAATCTGTTATTTAGACTTTTAGCAACAACAATTATTGTGGCTATAATTACATTTTTTTTATCTACAATTAGTCATCACATTTAAGCTATTTGTGAATAAATATTTCTGGTAAATCTTTAGTAACAACTTATTATTAGTTGCTACATGTATAATTTACATTTAAAGTTAATAAAATCCATGAATTCATATATAAATTAACGCATACAAATATATATAATAGTATCAAACGTCAATACATAGAACTGATGCACTAGATATTTGGAATTTTTAAAAAACTAAAAAATTTCTACATAGGATGTCTTAATTTACGAAATGAATAAAAACATAATATAAGAAATATCATTAAGTAGTACTAATCTACTAGTAACTTAACAGGTAAATATCCCCCCGATAGCTTGTGTATGACATGAATCATATTGTAAGTAGTGTTGGTTTAAGCACGTTCATCCTACAAAAGAAGATAAATATAATTACATTTTTTAAAAAAAATCAATGAAAATAATATATTCAATGTAATTTATAAACTTGGTATCAAAAGAATAAAATATATGCAATCTTATCTTTACATTTGTGGGGGTTGGGAAGCTAATTCAAATAGACCTTGCACTTAGAAGAGAAATAAGACTAAATAGTGGCCACATGAACTCATATAATATATGCACAACATATAATACGGGAAAGTAAATCATAGTCCAATCAAATTATTTTTTCAATGACTACTCAAAATTGAAAGAGAACTTCAAATATGCTCTTTTGACTACCAAATGAGCACCACGAGCTGATTTGTTAGAGAACAATACATCTTTTTTGTTTGATGTATTGTTCTCTAACAAATCAACTTATGGTTCTTATTTGGTAGTCAAAAGAGAAGATTTGAAGCCTTGTCTTTATAAAAGTATAACTAATAATAACAATCATATACTTATGTCATTGAAAATAAATAGATAAGAGGCTGACTTTTGAGTTTCACTTGCCATTCAAACCAACAATCCAATGATAAGACATAAAGAACATTAGCATATTGAAATTGGATTTTCTTACGGAATGGACAAATCATTGTACAATCTAAAGTCCAATCATTAAAAAACATTAAGAATCTAAGCACTTTTTTCATTTTTTATAAATTTTACATTGTAGTTACCATATCAAGATACCATGACAATTTAAAAATCAAATCAGTTATTTTTTTAAAGAATCTACTTACAAATCATATGATTTGTATTAGATGAATGAGCTCTAACTATCCTTCAGTAATAAAGTCTCTTGTAATAAACTTAAAATTTAAACTTACTTACCCCAATGTCATTCATAAGACTTGTAGGATTTGCAACATCTGAATCACTTGAATCGGTAATAATGTTGAGAATTGCAGATGGAAAACCACTCTGTTAAGCATAGCAAATATAAGGAATTGAAAGATGATTGATCTAATAAAGAGAAACTATGTTATAACATCAAAATAACTAGGACAAGTTTTTTAAGAATAGCATAATCAAAATACTCTTAGGATCAAAAGAAAGAAATTGATCATTAACGCTTGTACCTTAGAAATTTGCATATGGGATGCCAGTGCCTTTATGCCCTCTTTTACCATTTTTTGATCACGCACTAGACGAGTTTCCATCTTACAATTTTCATGAAGTAATTATAGACCAAAAAAAGAATCAGCAAAATGGAGCAACACCAGATGTCCAAAAAATAATTCAGATAACATTATTTTCAACACCAAGCATAACGGTTAAGATGCATGTAGATGGGAGGAGCTAAATCTTTTAAAAGAAGTTATTGTAATAAGTAAAATTATCTTGTGCACTAACTGAAAATCACAACCAATCATCATCTTCGTCGGCTTCATGTTCATCTTCAGAAAGATATTCTCCATCTGATGAAAAATTATTGAAGTTATCTCCATTTTCACCATCAGATTCATCAATAACTTCTAGGTCTATTTCTTCCTCGTTATTGAGAGAAGGTGCTTCAACACTCACTCCATCAATGTCTTCTCTTTGTATTGTAACATTATCATTATCCGATTCTACTTGAAGACTTATTTCTCCCCTTTCAACCAAGTCAATTAGTTGATATGGCTCTGGTTCACTTTCTTGCTCGGGTACATCATACAAATTTCGTGGTCTTACCCTTACCACTGCATGCCATTTTTCATTTTGACCATGTTTAAGATAATACACAGATTGAGCTTGTGAGCCTAAAATAAATGGATCATTTGTGTAATGAATCTGTGTCACATCTACACATACAAATCCATATTCATCT